TATAATAACAAACTAAAGCATTTATATCTGTATCGTCTAATGATTCAGAGTAAATATAAAAGAGAGAAATATATATTATATATCTTAAAGATTCTGTTGTGTAATACGATCATTGAAAGACACGATCTCCTGATTATTTCGAGCAATGTGTGAAAAAAAGTATAATTAAATCGCATTGATTTTCTCGAGATATTGCAAACACCCATCACCATAAAAATGTCTTTTCTTCTCTGACTCACCGATACACAGCAGACAGAGTCAGCCGCGTTCTGCTGCGGATCTGTAACAAAAAATATAGTTTCGTTAGTTAAACCGTTAGGTTAAAAGTTAGGTTAGGTTGAGTTCAGTTCGCGGAAGCGCGCGCGCGCAGATACAAACATTGATCCTTTGCCATCGCAATTCAACGGCTTTTATTCCAATCACTCGGTTTTCGATCGCAATGAATCAAGAAGAAATGTACAAACGATCAGTGAACCTCACCTTCAAGCCGACTCTGCTCGGCCCGAACCGGATCCTCCGGTGCGGCATCGGCGTCCGTCGAAACTGCGTCCCGGTAACCGCAGCTATTGCGTGGCCGCAAACTCCAGCAGATCTGTAACAAAAAGCGAGTTTTCTCATTAGTATTACAGCGACAAATGCGCTCGGCATCAAGAATACGAAGACTCGAGACTACAATCTAGCTTCTTCAACTTAACCAAGTTAACCAATAAAAGTTTACCTTTAAAGACCATCATGGAACACTGCTATTGCTTAAGATGCTCCGGATCGTCACGCACACATACACACACGTACGCACGCACACACATGCACGAATATTACATGTTACACTCGCGCGTATACTGTGATCGAGCGTGAAAATTCGGAAATTATTACGCGCGGCGATCTGCCGATCCGTCCGACGCCGCGGCGTAAACAATAATGGAAGCGGTCGCGGCAGTTGCGTACTTATATACATGTTGTTTTCAAAATCGCGCGACCTTGTCCCACCGGACGCGTCTCAGAGAGCCCGTAACGTTGTATAAAGTTTACCTTTTTAAACAAAAAGGTAAAAAGAGGCGCCAAGTATACGCGCAACATGTATTGTGTTATTTTTAAAAATTTCAAATAATTTCTTTTCAAGTTACATATGTAACATAAAATTTTACAAGTAAAAATTTATAACTGTAATAAAACTCTACGACACTACTTTGCAAAAGAAATGATATAAACGGCAATGTTTACACTTTTAGTACTGTGCATCGTACCGCATGAGCATGTATCTTTGGGCAATATAATTTATTATTTTCGTTATACAAGTAATAAGTTTGTACAAGTCAAACTTATATCTCAAACAATAAATTCTTCTATTGAATACTATAAATAAAACTCTACAAAACTGTTCTACAAAAAAATGATATAACAAAACAATAGCATCAACTGAAAAACTCTACTCAACTCTGCAAATGAGAGCGATTTGCAATCTGAAGATAAATGTATCAAAAATTCCCAATGATACACAATCTGGTACTTGAAAAACAGTCTTCATTATTTACTAGAACACTGAGTTTTATGGTTATTTTACTTATTACAATAAATTAGTTAATATAACAATGCAATAAAAAATATATAATGCTAAAAATCTTGGCTTTTCTCTCTCTCTCTCTCTCTCTCTCTCTTTCTCGCACATTTCTACTCCTGTATTCTAGCAATATTCTTCTCTCTCTTATTGTCTATCGCTTGCTCACTCGCACTCACTGCTTCTTCAGCACGCTTGGTGTCGGGCCTTTGGTATCGGAAAAGTGAGATGCACAAATCCCCTCTCCTCTGCGATCTAACGTTTCTTACTTTTTTACTGAATCGAAATTTTCTGTGATTTGGATTTTATTTAAAAATATCTACACTTAGTGACAACGTACACAAAACATACAAAGACACTTTTCTTTCTATTTTTTAAAGCCGAATCGATTGGAATTGAAGAAACCTCGATCAGTTTAGCCATTGCTGAGATATGAATATCTCACCTCGTTTCAACTCGCAATTTCGCGTAATATAGGCACTACCGTGCCTCTTGATAATCAAGTTTCCGACAGCGTTCTTGCGTGTCCCGTGCGTCACGATTATTCCCGATTTCAGTTTTATCTTCCGACATTTCTCACGGCACTTGAGTGTTTTAACTCTTGCGAAATTTCACCCCTCCACCGTCTTATTATCATTTCTCTTTGCATATCTGGTATATCTCTGCAACCGAATCTTACCGGAATTAAAAGTGCAATGCGCGAATTTGAGTATTAGTATTAATATTCTCTTTGAATGTCCCAGCGGCCTGTCTGTCATATCGGCTTACGGTTTAGCGCCAATGGGAAATCAAGTTCGCAGTTATTTCGCGGCTTCGCAACAGACGCGCACAATACGCATACGTTTTCAACATTTTCACGAGACGTTTCTCCGGTGGGACACCATTCTGTGCATATTGTGTCAGGCACGTAATTTTCACGACGTTGCTTTCCGATAACATATATACATCGGTATTTTTGCTCGATTATTAATTTCCTCGAGCTACACGCCGCGCGCTTCGATAATTCCGTCGCAAAAATAAAGCATTTAACGAAGAAATGTCTAAAAGGGACGCGCGCGCGTGAGCGCGAAATTTCCACAGCCATTACGGCTGAAAGAGAAATTTCGGTTTACCGAAGTTTCCAAATGATTTTTACCGGACCCTGCTGCGATCCATTTGTTGTAAAAGAACATTTATCCCCGCACCAATAACAATTAGTTAATAACGTGGAAGAGAGAGAGAGAGAGAGAGAGAGAGAGAGAGAGAGAGAAAGAGGGAGAAGATAGACGGGAGAAACAAGAGCCGACGCGAGCAAGGCCGAGCGTAGCGCAGCAATAGTCATTCCTGAAAAATATGTCCCTCACGGGAGCGAGCGCAATTTTTTCGATACCGTGGCGTATGCCATGTCGATGTTGCGCCGGGCGCACGGTATTTTCGTCCGATCGATAATTTTGCCGGTTATTGGCGCGGAGTTTTTCGAAGGCGCGGAGCGTAATTCGCGCTCGTCGCGGCGCGCGCCGCGTTTTTGCCCTTCTGGGTCGTGATGCGCGATCCTCCCGAGAAATCTCAATTATTACGCTAACGTTACTACAGCATGCCCCCGGGAGAACACGCAGCTGACGTCCCGAAGAACACGTTCGTCCTAATTGAAGTCGCAGTTGTTGCTTCGCGCGCGCCGGATTGAAGCGCCGGAATATCGCGCGGAGCTCGCCGAGCGTAAAACACATCACTTATTCATCCCTCCGCCCGCCGCCCTCCCCCGACCGACAACTTTGTCGTCTTTTATCGCGACCGAAGCTGCCGGCCACCGGAACTCACACGCGCGCGACGGAAACGTACGCAACACTTGCTTCCTCTGTTGCTCTCTCTCTCTCTCTCTCTCTCTCTCTCTCTCTCTCTGCCGTCGAGAGAATGGCGCGCGCTTGAAATAACCGCGAGAGAAATTGCGAGAGCGTGGGAGAGACACGTTAAAGGAATCGACCGGAGCGAGCAGCGCGGCGAAAAAGCGGAGATTAAGGAGGGTGCCAGGCAGGTAACGTCTCTTATCTGGTAACGGTAGCAGACACCGCAAGGAGCGCGCGGCAGCGCGCACCGAGTCACATTAAGAGATAAAAGATTCCCGTGGCCCATGGAATTTACGAGCAATTTCGCCCACCGACGCGTTATTCGCGCGTGCTCGACTCGCGCCTGACAATCGCGGAAAGTACCTACGGCTGTCGGCCGCGTTTCATTCGCCGCGGCGGCGGCGGCGAAGAACGCTCGCTGTAAAAGTCGCGTCCCCGGTGCGCCGCTGTGCGCCAGCACGATGAAGTAATTACGGGGAGCGTAATAGCGGCCGGGTTGATTTGCAGGGACGGTAATTGGGGTGATCACTGTAACGTCCATCGATAAAGTTAAATAGAAATCGCGACGATCGCGGCAGAGCGGCTGCTCGCGACGAGTTCTCGAGTCGGGAAGTTCGTTGTTACGTGACCTGACACGTTTCTCTCTCGCGTGGATTAGCGGGTCCGACCGACGAAAATCTGATCGTGCGGGGAATTTAGCGCTGGGTTCTCTGGGTTGGCCTGATGTGCGCGATGACGTGGGGAAACGAACACGCGACGTCGACGGCGGGATCGACGATGCCGAGGGGCGTCTCTTATATTGTCATCACCGGCCGCGGCTGCAATAAAACTCGAGTCGCAACATTCTAACGTTTCAAAGCAACTCCAGCGTTTTGCGGCGCGCCCGTTATTTGCTCGTTGCCCGTGTTTGCCCTCTTGTGGTCCGCGGCGCGTACATCACGGTGCGCATATGCGCATATATATTCTGTGACTTCATGCATATGCAGGTCGGCCGCATTATGCATTTGTCGCATGTGAGACACGTAGTCGTTAAATTGCGTCGCGTTTGGGTGCGGACGCGAATGTAATCTCCGCAGATTTCGTAGAATGAAATGAAGTTTCGACGTACGGGCAGGAAAAAAAATGTCCCGCCTGGAAAATGGTCCGCCGCAAATGTATTATTTGGCTGCGCACTCGTCCATAAAGTTTCACGCACGAAATGGCTTCTGACGTTACGGCAATTCGTCGATCGATCTGTTTGATTAACAGTTGCCAATTCGCGCGTAAAAAGTGAGATAAAAATGAAGCGTATTTGGGAACAGAAGCAACTTTTGCTCCACATGAGTTACTCAGTTTACTCGGACTTAACATTTAGAAGAGAAAAGCCTTTTCTTTTGCATGTGTAATCATTGCTCGCGTACACGTATCTCGAATTTATAAGTTTATATATTATTTGAACGAAATACTTATAAGTTTATATATTATTTATACATATAAACACGGCGTATATATTGTACCGGCGAATAAAATATTATATTACATTATTATTATTATTATTATTATTATTATTATTATTATTATTAATATTATACATCAGCCTCATATATAATAACAAAAGTATCCGTGACGCTTTATTGCTGCAGGATCGAGGAAAACCGAATATCGAAACGATGTGAGAGGAATATATGGACGGACACCAAACGGATTGGGCAGATTCGGCGAAATCACGAACACGTGGCGAGACGTAAAGCGGGGTAAGTCGATAAATCATGCCTTGATTTACGGCTGTAATATTATTTAGAAACTTATCCCTTGAGCTATGGACACGTCAGGTCGCGTGATACGTGCGGATGCTACGTGCGGGAAAAGTACAAAGACGAACGGATCGACAACTCTACATTTTCGTGCTTTATCTCCGTGGTTATTCTTCTTCTGACATGAATTCATTCATTCACTCATTTCGCTATTTTTATACTCTTTCGTGTTTATTAGACTTTGTATATGCGATACAAGACTGGAAACGTTAGATAAACAAAGGAATCATAGCCGTAGTAAGAATATTTTAAATTGACCAAATGAAGGTTTATATTTCTGACGAAAGAAAAGCATTCTGTACATCATTCTTTAACGATGCCATATTGCATCAGTTTAAAAACGTTGTTAGATTGTCGCAAAATATGCGCTTTCAAATGTTTTCCCCCGACCTATTTTTGAATGTAAGTTGCGCTTTTATCTCAACACAAAACTGCATGCTTGGCCGGAGACCATTCTAGACGAAATGGCGAAGATTCATGGGCTCTCGGCTAAAGTATAAATAAAATTCTTGGGTAGTGCAGCTCTCGAATCACCTCGAATGCAACGTTGTGTATATGAACGTTCGGATTTCATCTCACGTACACATCACATGGTGCGTCGGATGACGGATGGGGCACGGAAAGAGCGGTGATCGTTCCGTTCACCGAAACTTCAATTTCCAACTTTTGATAAATTTCTTCTTACGAACTTTTGTTTTAACGAATGGAAACATTCCGACGAGGCGTTCTCGGTGAAGCATAGACAAATTTCGGTATATCGGTGAACGAATCTCCGGAACTTTAAAGTGATGTGTTTGCTTTCAGAAGTTAATCGCGGTGCAGTCGAGATCGCAGAAATCGTAAAATATTTGTGAAAAGAAATCATCGCGATAAACGTTAACGCAAAGTATACAGATACGTGTAACATTAAGACAACACGAGCGTCTGATGAAATTTTGAAGAAAGGTGTCCTCGGTTGTTGAGAGAAACTTCGTAAGCCTCGCGAACGACGAATTTGTGTGCCTGGCGCACAATCGTACTAGGTGCGCAACTAAGTTTCCGGTCTCTTTCGATCAATGAAAAATGGAAAATTTCAAGAGAAATACAAAAAATGGTTTATTCGAAGTATCGTCCCTCGTTAGCTACACATTTTTGCCATCTCTCTGGCAATACATGAATACCGCGACGATAAAACGACGCGTCTTTGGACCGAAACCATTCATCCAACCAATTTTGCACTTGTTCGAAATTGGCCAAGTGTCGCCCAGCCAAGCCATGCGCCATCGACCGGAACAAGTGATAATCGGAAGGGGCCAGGTCTGGCGAATACGGCGGGTGCGCTAGCAGATCCCATTTCAGCGTTTTCATGGTGTCCCGGACGATGGAAGTGCGATGGCACGGAGCGTGGTCGTGCTGCAATATCACTCGTTCGTGTCTCGTGTCCCATTCTGGCCGTTTTTCGAGCAATGCATGGTTCAAATTGATCAGCTGTTATCGGCAGCGATGCCCATTGACAGTTTCGCCCGGTTTCAGCAGCTCATAGTACACGATTCCTTTCTGGTCCCACCAAACGCACAGCATTGTCTTCTTTCCGAAGCGATTTGACCGTGCCGTCGATGCTTCGCCAGATGAAAGCCACGATTTTTTGCGTTTGGAATTCTCGAAATATATCCACTTCTCACCGCCAGTAACAATTCGATGCAGGAAACTCTTTCTTTCATGCCGCAAAAGCAAAATTTCCGAAGTGGCTCTTCGATTTTCCATCTGTCTCTCAGTCAACTCATGCGGCACCCATTTTCCTTCCTTTTGAATTTTTCCCATGGCATGTAAACGTTTGAAAATACCTTGGCGAGTCGTGTTTAATGCCGCTCCGCAAGTTGATCTTGTGTTTGCGTATCATCTTCATCCAATAACACTTGCAGATCGACGTCCTCCGGCTTGTTTTTGGTCTTCCGGAGCGCTCCTTCCGTCCTCAGTGTCGAAATCGCCACTTCTGAAGCGTTTAAACCTCGTTTAAACCTCGTAAAGGCGTTACTTAAACTACCTTCACAGGTAGTTTTCGATGGTGCATGTTCGCCGTAGGCCTCCTCAAGCAAACCACGTGCTTCAGCTGCACCTTTTTTCAAGTTAAAGCAGAAAAGCAAAGCTTCCCGCAAATGCTGTTTATTTGGCACGAAACTCCGACATCTTCGTTGTTAGAAAAAATATTTTTGCGTTGCGATATGTGTTGGTATTACGACTGGTTATTTGTTAACAGATGTCCAAGCTATAAAAAAAAACCCAACTTCAGACATGTATGTCGACTACATGTGTCGTTAGCGCCATCCATGTGTGAAACACCCGGAAACTTAGTTGCGCACCTAGTACGTATATTACATGATCCCTCTCGCATCGGCATTGCGGCAAAAACTATAGAATAAGATCGGGAATGGAAGCGATATACACAAGTTAGGTCAGGCGCTCCTGATCCTTTTTATCTCGAGACGGTTAGAACGGTGCTCCGATTGCTTGCCAAATTCCCGAAGGACTCCGCGCCGTCTATAAATATGTATGTGGCGTCTCCAATTTCCTGGGAAAGAGCTATCGAATGCCGGGCGGACTACATCGCCTGAAAATGCTAAGCAAGCTCCGCACAGCGTGCCCTAATTATACCGCAGTTATGCCAAGTCATTTAATTAAGAATTCCTTCCTGCGAATTTGCTTCGATTCTTTTTCGTCTCTCCTTCCCTCTCTTTTCGGCGGCTAACATTTTTAATTTCGAGTTATCTCTCGGCCGGCTGAAATTTACTTTGCAATTTTCCGCGAGGTAGCAGTGATTCCTCTCTCGCGCAGTTTCTAGATTCGCCCGCTATCAGATCGAGACTCGCAATAATTGCTTCTCACTTCCACAGCGTTGAGCCTGCTGTGCGTAAAGAAATTTTCCGGCAGCGCGACAATGCTGGAGGCGCCGCCCGGGAGTCGCGAAGACCTCGTCGAGGCGGCAAGAACTCCGTGTACACCTACCGGTAAGTGACACTGGCGCTTTATCATAAAGTTCGAAGTTCGGGGAGTTTTGGGAGCCCGGCAAATTTATTAGACCGCGTAAACACGCTGCGACACGGTTTCGCGAGTTCCGCAATAAATGGCCGCGACTGGGCGCTATTGGGTGCGTTGTTGACGTTTGCGCGTCGCGATTATACGAGCAAAAATACAGACGACGACGACGACGACGACGAGATCGATGAGGCTAAATTAAGAGCCGCGCTGTGACATAATGCGAATTTAAATGCGATTGAGTCATTGAAGAACACGAGTTCCCAACTCCCGTCGGCAGTTTTCCGCCACGAAGTCGATAAACATCAGCTCTTCGTCATTCATTCACGTCCACCCCTCAAACTTCACGATCGCCGCACCGCGACGGTTATCACTCAGCTGCGAAAAGCGACGTAACAAATTACCCCCCGACCAACGTATAACGAATTACCCTCTCGTTACGTCTCATCAGATTGCATCCCACCGTTTCCGCCCTCGACGAACGCGATAAATTAATTTCCCCTCCTCGCCCCCTCCCGCACACCTGCTAATTGCAATCTCGGTCGGTAACAGCGTTAGAAAATTAGCGCCTAGAAATATTCTCCAAGTGTTTCTCCCCCTCGCCGCGCCGTCCTTTGTGCCGGCGTCGTAAAAGCATTTCCCGGCGCGAAGGATACAAGCCGCGAAACACACCTCCTCCTCCGCCATTGCCGGTATCACCGATATCGACGGTAATTGACACCGTTTTCACGGCTAAACCGCTTTGCAATTTTCCTCTTATTTTCACGACGTAATAACTTATTAGCCGAGCCTGGCGCGGTTTAGCCGCGAGACGGGTCAAGAGGGTGAAGGGGCGGTCGGCTACTAACAGCGCACACAAACGTACGTACACACACACACACACACACACACACACACACACACACACACACACACACACACACACACATATAGATGCCATCTTTAGCGGCAGTCGCCGAGATAAGCTCTCATTGGCGATCGAAGCGTAATCAGTATAGCTTCTTGAAATAGCGCATCAACCTCTCACACTCCTTGCACCAACGCCGGGAGTCCTTGGCGCAGGAACTTCGATCATCCGTCGAACGAAATAACTGCGGCAAGAGTTACGACTGACGTTGCGGCAGACTTGATCAAGACGCAGAATTAAGAGCGCAGCGAATCGCAACACTAACAAAGAGAGATACGGTCGAAACGATACGCTGAATAGCACGCGGACACGCGCGTCTAGATTGACCTACGGTGTAAATGAAACGCAAAGAAACGAAAAGAAAATGAGACTCGAAGCTGAGTGAATCTCGCTGTGAGACGATGCAGCCGGCACACGACTGGTTCCAGCGAGATGTCGATTTGTACTTCTCGAGACGATCGATCCCTTTCACGGCGCATTTTCGGTTTTCATTTTTCGGCTCGCGATCGCGCCGTCATAAATCTCACGAGAAAGCACTCTCTCTCGCGATCGTTCCCCTACGCGACGCGCACGACGATGATCGAGATGCAGATCGAAAAAATTGCCGCCGCTATGCGATAAAGGCGTCTCGGAGTCCCGCGGGACTCCGGACCCCGGCCCGCCGTGTCCTGACGCTGAATTTCCATTTTCGCTCCATAAATCAAAATGTCGTCGATTTCGCGGCGGCCGCTCGCTCTCCCCCTCCCTCCCCCCTCCCTCCCCCCCGCCAACCCACTGTCTGCCGGGTTCGTGAAAAAGTAAATAACGACCGACCGAAAAATGTCGGCGCGCTTGGAGGAGTTCGGTCTTAAAAAGTTTCGAAGGGTCCTCTTCGTCTTCGTCCTTTCCTGCGGCCCCTCCCCCGTCCTTCGGCCATTCCCTTGCCCCTACGGCAACCCAGAAACTTTGCTAATTACGCGGAATTAAGCTCTTTAAAATTTATAACACGACCGGCTTGACGCATCGGCAGTATAAGGAGAGAGCGCTATGAAGGACGTCGTGGTGGGCGCACGCGCGCGCGCGCGCGAGAGAGAGAGAGAGAGAGAGAGAAAAAAGGCTCGTTCGCCTCTCGATGCTTTTTCCGCGAGAGCGAACAACGCGAATGCGAAATGCGCGAGTGTCGGAATCGCTGATGAACACAGCCACCCCCGGTGAACGATATATTGCCGTTATCGTTTGCACGTGTCGTTGTTTCACGATATTAGTACATTTATGCTCTGTCGGCTTGAGCGCGAGCGAGAAGCGGGTGTAATCAAGAAGCACATTGCGTTGCTGCCGGCGATTGGGTCATTACGCAACTGGCAAAGTGCATTCGCATTTTGGCTCATCTTGAAATGTCGCGTTTTATCGCCCGGATTCTCCACACTGCGCGCAATATTCCATCAAATACGCGACGACATTCTCATTCGCACTCGCTATTGGCTGTCTTTTTTACGAGCTAACGCCGCTTAATCTCCTCGCTATTATCATCCGCAATAATTTAAATGCATTACGAAATAATGTGCGCGCTCCTCGTGAACTCCACATCGAGCGAAATTATAATGCGAAAGCAGTTTGCGACGGGGAGGGAGGGGGGAGGGATGAGTCGGCGTGCATCGAGATTAATAATAACGCGCACGGCGGCATCCCACGCGTCTGTTATATTAATTAATATGAAATTCTAGATCGGCAACTGTCGTGCGGCGAGCGCACGGAGGAAGCAGCTGCTTTCTTGTATAATTAATAATGATTCGCAGAGCCGTCGTAAATGTAAGCGCTTTATTACGAAGTCGGATAAACGCGCTAACGGGATTAAAAGGTAGAAAAAGTTTAGACGAGTTTTATTAAAATGCAACGAGCGGCGTCGAATACATTAATTACTCCGCGTAAATTAACGCGCGTACCTTCTCGCTCGTGCGGATTTAGAAATCCAGATCTGCAGAATGTCATTCGTCCCGCGACAACTCGCCCGACTTAATAACGATATTTCAAGTGGTGTATTCAATCTGAAGAAGACGACCGACGGTCTCCCGAGCCTCGAAACACGAGTACAAAGCTGGCAAGCTGACGCTCGCTCGTAATTAACAGAACTCGAGCGAAAGTTCGTTAATCGCGCGGAATTGAGACTGATAACACGCGTTTCCGACATGATGCGACACGCATCACGGCGTATAAATCACTGCGATTTCGTGTCGTCGCGATGCATATTGCGCGTCTCTATATTTACTCGCACAGACGGCGGCAATGTGCCCCGATAACGGCTACGCCGAACACAATTTATCGACGATAATTGATGAACCGGCTTACAAGCGCGAATAGCGCGATCGTAATTATCGTCAGCATGTTCTTGCCTTTTCTTTGACACCATCGAGAGTTCGATATCGAAGTCGTAACCGAACGGCTCGATCTAATTAAATTTGGTCGCCGGAAGAGACAAGAATTAAAAATAATGTCGATCGTTAAATACGCGCCCGCTTCGTGTGCCTTTGCTTGTGTTGGTGTCAGTGAGTCGATAAAATTGTTACAAACTGAAATTCGGGTAATCTCTGGTGAATCAAAGAGACTTCGATGACAGGATAATAGTAATTTCTGTAATTTTGCTTCTGAGATAACAGCAACGCGACGCAACGTAATTGACGGAAACCACTCGACGCCAATGGAACGCTTGAGCATACATAAAAAAATATGCTTTGAGGAGAGAGGAGAATGTATGTTAAGTCGAAATAATACGTCGAATAATATGACTAATATACGACTAAATAATAATAAAAAAATAATACATCGATTGATATGTCGCAAGGAGAGAAAGAGAGGGAGAGAGGGAGAGAGGGGGAGAGAGAGAGAGAGAGAGAGAGACAGAGAGAGAGAGAGAAAGCGGCTCTTTCTCTAATCTCGCTATAGCCGTTTCTTTACGACGAATACCGCGGATAGAATTCAGCATGATCGTTACATCGGGGAAACTAGCGGCTAGCGTTAGTGGTAATAGAAGATCGTGGGGGGATCAAGAGCTCCTTCCTGGCAAATGCGGAAACGTAACCTACCTACCCGGTACTAAAGCCGGTTGTAAAGCAAACTAGGTCGCTATTAAGTACGAAGAGTAGTAACGGAGCGTTATGAGGCAGACTGATAACCGTGACGTAGTAGCCTCACTAGGTAGCACCTAACTACCTCGTAGTTGCCTGTCGTGTTCGTTACTGAACGTTATCTTTCGAACAGATTTTTCCAGCCCGTGCTGGAAGCAGATGCAGCAGCTGCCGTAGTCGAGGCCGCGTGAACTGAATTAGGAAATTGACGGCCGTGTCGTCGCGTGAGCCGCTGCTCGACGAAGCGCGTGTCGACCGAAGTTAGCAGTCGACGCTAAAAATACAAACTAGGATCCGAATGGATATCATTATCGATATCGCTCGCTCCGCGCGAGCGGAAACTCCCTGTCGACTTGAAAACAACGTAATATCCGAGACGGGACTTCCGTTGCACGAACGGAACTATTCCTCCCGGCTTGCCGAAGTTTGAGCGGCCGATGTTTGAGCAGTTTATAATGCCGCCGGCGATACTCGCGCCGTGAGCGCGCTGAGACGGACGTAATTGTGTTGGATAATTTTACGCGTTAGCACAATGCGCGCACGCTTACGTGCGGGGTATCGCAAACTTTCGCAATACGTCGGACGAGCTAAGAGCGCGTTCCTCCCGTTCGCCCTTATCGTGCGAAGCTCTGTCGGCGTCAAGTCACGCGTGCGGACTGACTTACTCGGGGTCAATAGAGCGTCGCGAGTTGTGGCGTTTAGTAACGGCTGGGTCAAGGGACGAGATCAGGTGAGTGTTCCCGTACGGGAGCGGACTCGGTTTAAGAGCAAATACACCCAGGTCCACTTGGCTAACATTGAATAATTCATAGGGCCGACCGAGCGTCTATACGCCATCAGTGCTGTCCCGATAGCCGTTGGACCGTTCATCACGGGCTATTGATTGGGGCTGCGCTTTCCGTTCTCCGCCCCAGCGCCTCTCTGTCACTCACGTGCCGGTAACTCTACACTTAGCAAAGTGTAG